TCTGTATTTCTCCCAACTGTTCAAGTTCACTTAAGACAAAACCGACTGCATTTACATGAATAGTCTCCAAGACGGGCATTTTGACATAACTTAAGAGAAAGAGAACTCTGCATTCGCACGCTGACTGAGAGGCGCATTATTTTGTGAGCACGCTTTCGATGTGTGAGCACAGAAACCCGTCGACTTTCAAGTACTGGACAAGACTTAAAAACACATGCAAATACTGAATATCACTTTCGTGATAATGCTTTGAGTCAGTGACATTTCCGTCAAGTGTCCCTGGACTCGGTTGGACTCTGACATATTTTCCGAGTCCGAAAGGCTCGAGTCCGTGTCAAGTCCGAGTAAAAATGCATCCGAGTATGTGACAAGTCAGAGTTCTTTAAAAAACTGTACTCGAGACTGGACTTGAGTCCGAGTAAGAGTCCGAGTACCCCAACTCTAGAGATAACTGACAAGACCATGCTGGAGGATTTGCTGCTCAACAGATCCTGAGCTCATTGACAAATACAAAGTTCTGGCCTGAAACTCTAGCTGGCACAGTCTGGTAGATCTAACTCAATATGACATAATGACATCATTATCACGTCACAGCCGATTGGTTCTCTCCTGTATCGGTAGCCAATGAGCTCGCTGCTCAACATTCAAATACTTGGCTAATGCTTGTGGTAGCAGTTGCAGCGCACTTCAGAAACCCTCCACCTTCCCCAGCTCCACCTGTATAGATCTGCTACAGGGTGATCATGTATGCTATGGGGGTTATTCATATTTCTTATATGTGCAGCAGCAGCAGTATTTCTTACATGCTCATAGCAGCATGTTTTTGATGTATTGGCAGTAGCAGCGTAGCAGATCTATTCCGCCAAGACCAAATCCATAAACATTGTCATGTACATTAGGATGCCAGTCCCTCTGAGAGAAGTCATAACATAAATATCTGATCTTGTAAGATGTGCTCCATGTACACAAAGTGTGTGTGTTTGTGATATCAAAAGTTAAAGTGATTATTATTCATTCAAAAGAGATTTAAATACTCTGCATATTGATAGCAGCTCCCTGATACACGAAAATTATATGCAATATTAGAACGTTCGCGGTAACGGGCGGTAATGGTCAGAAATTCAGCAGGAGTGGGATTAAGAAAACAGTCCGGAGATTTTCCCGGAGATGCATTTTTTTAAGTCCAAAAAGAGGACATGTTTGGGAAAAAGAGTATGTGTGGTCACCCTATATTAGTAAATTACACTCCTAAAGAACATTAAACACTGGTGTTAAGAGCATATTGTGAGCCACTTTTAAAACTCAATAAGCAGCTTGACACAGAAATTAAAGGGCAAATAAACATAAAAGTAAACCAGCCATATAATGAAGAAGGGAAACAGTAAATGCAAGTAAACACAAACATTTGTGTGTCCTCCACTCTTAATATCTGCTGCAGATGAAGTTGAGTTTGTAAGTTTCGAGATCTGGAGGTGATGATGGATTGTGTGTGTTTTGTGAGGATCTACTCACCTTCATGACACACAAAAGAATATTGACGATTGCAAAGGACATCAATCCACTTTCCCTGAGCATTCTGATTGGCGGCTACACAGTTTTCATCACCTTTAGCATTATTAGGTTCACCAGTGTCCCAGTATCTGAATGATGAGTCACTCTGATCTGACCACTGCCATGAGTCTCTGACTCTGAATAGACCGATCCAGACATGTGATCCAGATGAGTTATTATCTTTAATGATCTTCTCAACCTGTTGATTCTCATTCTGGTTTCTTACACTGACCAGATCAGTGTGATTCTGTCTGCAGTAACTCTGAGCGTCTCCCCAATTCATTGCCTGATTGACAAAGATGAGTCCTGTGTTCGCTTTAAGAAAAACAAAAATAAATCAATTAGTTTATTATTCTTGCCCTGCTTTATAGTTTGGATGTGAATAGGAACAGCGGTGAAAGCATCAGAAATGCCTGTGGTATTAAAGCAACTGTTCTTCCTGTTCCTCGTGACCCCCGCTTTGCACATTTTGTGTGTTTCTCTCATTACTTCAGAGGTTTGTTCCATTCGACCGTAAGTACCCTGCAGAGTGGACATAACAGGATATTCCGCCATGATTCCAGTTTGAAAGGAGCATATATGTTCCATTCAGAGAGCAATGAAGTGCGTGAGACGTGACGACTATGCAAATTTCATAATTACAGTTAAATAACGCTTTACACTTTTGTAGCAAGTTTTGTCTGTGTGTGTGATGATGCTGCAGGCAGTGGTGTAGCTTAAATCCATGTTTTTTAAGTAAAGTAAACTTCAGCCGATTTCCTCTGTGCAGGCAGTAAAGAGCAGTGAGCACTGTGTAGGGACCATATCAATCGGAACACAGTTCATTCATGGAGCTCTCTTACAGTGATTTGAATCAGGTGTGTCAAACAAGAGAGACATGCACAATATGCATATCAGGGTGTCAGGGGGACCAGGATTAAGAACCGCTACTTTAAAGGGGTCATGACATGGAATTTTTTTTTTTTTATGTTATTATTTTAATATGTTCCTAAAGGTTCACTTATGTTAATTGGGATGCACTGATGCTACTTTCTGCAGAACAAGTCCAATACCAATGCTTTCTTTCATTTTTGGAAATGGGGGCGGGGTCTATGGTAAGCTATGCAAAGCCGTCTTTTGTGATTGGCCATACCTTAAGACTGTAGCCAATGGAAATGTGAAAGCAGCCTGCTTCAGGTAAATTATCTAGGATGAACAGTGATTTTTCCAGAAAATCTGAACATCTTACTTTAACAGCTGCGATAACAGATAATTTGATATGGATAAAGCTGCGTTAAGGTACAAAACAGTTTTTGTTCAGTGCTGCTGAGTTGTCCTCATTATAACAAATAGACACAATATAAATAAGATTCATTGTGCAGTGTAGAGCTTCACTGATTATAACAAAAGTTTGTGCGATCGCAATGAACTGAGACAAATGACAGCTTTTTAATAATTACAAAGAGAGTTTGCAAATGTGATACTGATTTTATACAGTTCAGTAAACAAGAAGTTAAAGGTGCAATAGGTGATTGTCTTCAGAAACATTTTTTGTTATGCTGGTTGAAAGTCTCTTCACATCCCGATAGCAATCATTAAGTTAAGTGGTCTAAATGTATTCATCTGTATTTATATATTCTGTGGAAGGCATAGGACCAAGAAATGTTCGTCCAATCAAAACGCTCGGTCCGAGCGTTTTAATAAGCTTTCCTACCTGCCTGTCAACGTATGTTTAGCATACCTCTGCGCACCCGGTTCGTGCAGACAGGACACGTCATCAGCGCGTTTACGCACGCTGTGCAGACAGCGCGAGGATGGCAGGCAAACATCAACAACCCAATCTTCCTTCCTGGTATTGTAGTACTTTTAAAGTTTTCTCACCGGTGAATGACATGATGTAGCCCAGCAATTTAATCCAGTCCTCACGCCCCACGCTCTGCATATTTTGAATGTCTCGCTTAGTTAACACACCCGATTCAGATAACCAACTCATTAGAAGTGAGCTATGAACTGTGTTCCAATCGATATAATCCCTACACCGTGTTCACTGCTCCCTACTCCCCTCAGCAGGGGTTTACTTCACTTCGGAACATGGGCTGGAATTGGGAACCTGATGTAGCCTATTGTAGTAATGTTGTCTCTGGTACTCTGGTCTGTGAGTGAGCATATGCATTCAGGGGGCGTGGCTTTGGACGGCGATTGGAGGGAGGGTGGGACGTTCGCTTTCAGTGCTATCAGGCTAAAGTTAGCATTTTCCAAGATCTCCTATTGCGCCTTTAATATTAAGTGACTTATATTTTAGGAACACTATTTTTGCTCTATTTCGTCAAAGAAAATAGTTACAAACAAAGTCGCAGCTGAGCCACTGCGCATCTCCAAGCAAATACGGTGCAGTGTTTTGTTCCTGAATGAATCAGACGTTTGAACGATTCTGCCACCTACTGGCGAATCATTTTAGTTATATAAGTCATTCTATTTTCAAAACTTAATATTTCTATAAAAACCAAACGCATATGAATCATGTTAGCTGGCTTCATTTAGCAAATAGACATTTCGTTACACCAAATACACAAAATAATGATCTTTAAAAAAGCATCATATGACCCCTTTAAGTTATTTTCACACTTAATTATGCCCCTTAAAATGTATTGTACAAGCTTTTGTTACTTTCATATTTCATATTTAATTTAAAAGCACAGTGAAAAGTTGCTCCATTGCAGCGGCTCGGTACTGTAATTGCAAGACGTTTTCCTGTAATAATGCAGGGAACCATTACTTATCCTATACATAAATCTTGTTGCAGCAATGAACATATTTTCTTAAATATAAAAAGTGTTTTTTTGTATCATCTGAAACACGCAATGCACTCACACATTCGTGTTGGTGCAGAATGAGAAAGACACTTAGTCTAGAGCATTTCACAAAAAAATACAAAAATACAAAAAAAAACGGAACAGTCTGCGTTTAAAATGAAGAAAAACACATTTCTGAAATGAACACGTCACTAACTAGCTTGGCTACAACACATTAGATTAAAGGGGTCATATGATGCGATTTCAATTTGTCCTTTCTCTTTGGAGTGTTACAAGCTCTTGGTGCATAAAGAAGATCTGTAAAGTTGCAAACACTAAAGTCTCAAATCCAAAGAGATATTCTTTATAAAAGTTAAGAGTCAGCCACGCCTACCTAAAACGGCTCGTTCTAACACGCCCCCACATATCTACGTCACTATGTGGGAAGATTTGCATAACGCCACCCAAATGTTCACGCAAAGAAAGAAGGCGTAACTTTTATTCTCGCTGTAGTATTGTTGCCGCCATAATGTCGTGAAGACGCTGTGTGCTTCGTTGTGAAAGCGAAACTACTTTGTTTGGTCTTCCAAAAGAGGATGATATCCGCTTCGTCATGCCTAGAGCTGATCTGTGCTGGTCGCTGAGGAAATACATCAGCTTCTCGCTGTGGATCACCAGATCGGCTTTCACCGGTTGCCGGGGCGTCGGCGACACATCTGCGATTCCCTCAGATCGCGTCTTTGATAATTCACACTGCATGATTAGTATCTAGCGTATTAGCTCTTCTTTTGCATAAAGTGATTTTGCATATCTCAACTACATCCTGTCGCCAGCGGTCACTGTTGCTTGTGTCGCCGGAAATCGCCAACTCTCTATTGACACAAATGTGATTTTGTCGCTTTGTCGCTGCATGTTGCTGGTAGTGTGAATAAAGCATCAGCCATTAAGTTACTGAACGCCAGGGGGCGGGACCTATGGTGTATAACTATTTGTTGATGTCATATGCAATTTGTCATATGCAAATAATATTTTCCTTGTGAAGTCACAAATCCCACAATATCCAAATGAGCCGTGTTTAAAGCTTGGTTAAATAAATGCCTTGTCTATAACATGGAGAACATTTTGGAACTTGCAGGATATTTTAAAAGCACAAAGACCTCATATATGTCAAATCAAGGCAAATTTGATTTCTCATACCATGACCCCTTTAAGTGTTTACACTTACCATTGTAGCAGATGAAAGACCAGTTGTCACTACATTGCCCTTCATGCCATTGTCCACTTCTCATAAAAGCACATTCATCATTGCAATCTGGTTGTCCAGTAGCCCAGTTCAGATAGAGCGCATGTTCACCTGAAGACCACTGCCATTTATCACAACTCGCCCTCTGCAGCCCAATCCAGACACGTGCAGCATACTTGTTCAGCTCGTTCATGTCGTTCATGTTGTCAACGGTGGCCAGATCTGTGTATTTCTCTCTGCAGTATCTCTGAGCTTCAGTCCAGGTCTTCCCCTCATTTATAAAGTGATACTGACGCTGAACACATTCAGATACGGAGCAGAGAGCTGTGAAAGAGAGGGTTTGCTTTAATGCTTTTCATAAAAGGATCAAACCTAATGAAACATGTATTCATAAATAAAACCACAAACACACTCACCAATGAAAAGAAGAATGAAATATAGAGTTTGGTCCATTTCTGAGAAAGAAACACATTGAAAAACACATTTAATCAAACTTGATCGTAGTGGTATTATCAATAATAATAAACATTTTATCAGAATAACATGATGCACAATCAATTAGACAATTTTAACGTCTTACAGCCTTAGCTGTGGTTGAAGAATGAACCTGTGAATTGTTCTACCTTCAGAGGTCATGTATTTCTGCCCGGTGTCTGATGTTTCTGTCTGCAGATTCAGATATGCGATTATTCTATATTTGCTCTTATCTGTCATTCAGCATCACATCATTTGTGTATTTCTCTAAAACTAATTTTCGTATTTTACTTCCTCGTTTCTGTTTTTGCCAATCTCTCTTTGTCTTTATTTGTGTGAAGCACACTTTTGCCGAAAGTCAAAAGAATATGAAGCGACTGTAACAGATTATAATACTATTTTAATTGGAGCCCCTCAGGGCTTTGTCCTCAGTCCTTTGCTTTACTTCCTCTATGCCAGCAACTGCTTGGCTAAGCGCAATTCTAGCAAACTGGTGAAGATTGTTGATGACACTGTTGGTAGGCCTCATTAGTAAAAACGATGCAAAGGCCTAACTTGAGGAAGTGGATGCTCTCTCCACATGGTGTCGCATGAATAATCTCTTTCTGACTGTGGAGATGATCGTTGGGACTATGGGAGGAATCAAGTGAGGAATTACAGCCCTTTGATGATCGATGCGTCTGCAGTTGAAAAGGCGAGTAGTTTTAAATATCTTGGGTATATCTTACAGAAGACTATTCCTGGAAAATGCATAATACATCACCTGGTAACAAGGGCAAATCAGCAGATCTGTCATTTACGTCGGATTTAAGGTTTCCCAAAAAGTGTTAAGGACTTTTTATACTGGAACTGTGTAGAGTCTACTCATAGGGACCATTATTTTGGACACAAAACCCGAGCAGGTTTAAGCTTACAGACCTGTTGCTATGACAGCAACTCCGGGATTAGCTTCGAAGAACCAAACAATCCAAGATCATGCCAAATCGTCAACAATCAAATCCTGCTAACTGAGTTAGCGACGTACGAAGAACGGGCCCCAGGACTAAAAGAATTATTAGAGAATTTCATCATCCTGGACACAGTTTACTGTCAGAGAGACTGAGAAGGAGTCGTTATCCTCGGGCAATCAGACTATTGAATGAGGACATTTGATTAGTCTGTAGAATTTTTAACAGACAAAGATCATTTTTCTCTGTATTAATGTTTGTATTATTGGTTTATTTGCTTTTAGCTTGTTGTTAGTATTGTTGCATTGTGGGACGAGAAACTACAAGAAAACCATTTCACTACATTGCATCACATGTATATTATGTATGTGACAAATAAAGAACCTTAACATATTGGTGTCTTTGCCCATCAGTATAGTTAATCTAGAATTTCTGCAGAATAATGGCTTCATTAGAATATGCACCCATCAGAAAAGTGTGTAAATTTAAACAATTAGCATTTTACATTTCACAATTGGTGTTTCATACTTTTTTAACTTGCCATGCATGCTTGTGCTTCTCAGTTTTGGGACACTTTTTATCTGGTTCTGTTTGAAACTCAAGTTTCAAACAGTTCCCTTACCCTGTCCCCATCAATGTTAAGGTGTGTTTATTCGGTTTCCTGAGTAATATTTGTATTGAAGTCTGTTTCTGTGGATTATTCATCTTTGTGTGCTTTTTCTCTGTGACCACCTGACAGATACTGTTACTTAGAGACGTTTTTTGGAGAAAAGAGAAAGAAACTCTTTTGTCCTTGTGGGTCTATAGTGGGCTTAAGGAAGATGACCTGTCTCTCTTTAGGATGTTTTTGATACTGTGTTTGCATTCATTTACAAACAAGCAAATGGACTGTAAGGCACAAGTCCAACCAGAGACGTTATCAGTACTACATCCATCGAACCTTAAATACTGACCACCGTATATGTCACATGTCATCTCCTCATCTCCTCTCCTCAATAAATCATGGGGCTATTATGCAATAATTCATGAGTTAGATGTACATTTCAGAATCTATAGACTAGCTGAGTTAAGTAATTCAATGTTAATTCGTAGTGTTGATGCAACATTCACATGCTTGTCATAGAATAGGTCTACATTTACCTTTCAGATGATTCCTCTTTGTCTGTCATTGGTTGTTGAATTATCCAACTACTAAACTACTAAACATTTTCAAACAGTTAATGTAATGTTTTACATGACACTTTAAATATGTATGGAACTTATACTATAAACTTGTATATCAAAATATAATGCAATTTAAAGTAAATTCACCTTGTTCTTCAAATAAGATGATGTTTATGATAATACTTCACAAAGCAATATTGAAGAACATTTATTAACATGATGTGAAGTCCAAAAACAATAATTTGTGAACATTAGGAACATAATATTTAAAGTCATCTGCTGGATTGAGTGATGTTCCATTCTCCACATTTCAGCTAATTTCTCCACTGAATGAGTGACAGCGTCAAGGTAAGAACACCTGCACAGAAGCAGAATTAATTATTATATATATATATATATGTGTGTTTGTGTGTGTGTGTGTGTGTGTGTGCGTGTCATCCTTTACTTACCCTCGAGTCATTCCAAACATGTGTAAGGTATTTCTTAAAAAAAAAGAAAAAGAGAAAAAAAAAAAGTTGTACCACTCCTTATTTCTAGACAACCTTAAACAAAATTGGTGATATGACCACACATATATAAAGAGTTATCCATTTTACTCACACTGTGATAAAGAGTGTAACATCGAATAACTGGTAACTAAATTTTTTATTTTTTTTTGCTGTTCAAAGTGATTTTTTATATTCAAGGACTCATGCTTCTTAAAAATATCACATGTGATGGGCTTTAGGAAATTATAATATCAGGCTATACTGTTAGCATGATGTTAGCTCTAAACTGCTGAATGATACAAATCTTTTGAAATATGAGCCAAAGGTCCTGTGGTAAGTTGCTCACCAAGTTGCCAGAGGCTCACTCCTACTTATTATTATAAAGTATTGTTTTACTGTAATTTTACATTATATTTCATTATTTTTAGACCAAACACTCTTGATTTTGTTCTTTGTTTTGAATTTGATTTTGTTCTGAAAATTTTAAACATGCCTTGTTTATGAAAATTGGCATTGAAGTTTTAATGAAATTGTATTTCCCTGCAACATTTATAAGTGGGACGTTGCGTATTAAGCTTTTAATTATTCAGTTTGAACTTTATTTTGTTCTGAAATTTTAAATAATTAAAATGCCTTCAAAGTTATGAACTATCTTTTAATGAAACTATTAAGAAGCCAACCATCCATCCATTATTATCCAAACCTCTTTGTCCTTATTAGGCTCGCATGGAGCTTGATCCTAACCCGGCATCTTGAGCCACAAGTGGAGAAAAACCCTGGATGGATAGTCAGTCCATAACATGGCTCACATATAGATTTTAAGAACCATTTTTATTGAATTTATCTTTGTGTTGAAAATGTAAACTTGCTGTTTACTAAATGTTTACTTCAGCACAATCAGTGGCACAGTGTAACTCCATGTGGCTCAACTTACCCTCTCCCTAGGCTCAATTTACCCCTCACTGGGGCAAGTTGAGCCAAGAGACAACTTTTTTGCCATAGCCATAAGCCATATGTGACCCTGGAGCACAAAAGCAGTCTTAAGTCGCTGGGGTATATTTGGAGCAAAAGCCAATAATACATTGTATGGGTTAAAAGTATCGATTTCTCTTTTATGCCAAAAATCATTAGGATATTAAGTAAAGATCATGTTCCATGAAGATATTTTGTAAATGTCCTACTCTAAATATATTAAAACTAACATTTTGATTAGTAATATGCATTGCTATGGACTTCATTTGGACAACTTTAAAGGCGATTCCAGATTTGCAAATAGTTGTATCTCGGCCAAATATTGTCCGATCCTAACAAACAATACATCAATGGAAAGCTTGTTTATCCAGTTTTCAGATGCTGCACAAATCTCTATTTCGAAAAATTGACCCTTATGGCTGGTTTTGTGGTCCAGGGTCACATATTTTGAAAGCACTTTTAGATCCAAAGTGATTATTCCCGAGGATGCACCACATCCTGAAATGTATGTACATATTTAAGTTGAACTGTCACATGCTCACTTTAAACACACGCAAGTAAAAACTGGCTCAACGCACTCTCTCTACTATGGAAGTCAATAGGGACCATCAACTGTTTGATTACCAGCATTCTTCAAAATATCTTCTATTTTCAACATAAGAAAGAAGCTTATACAGGTTTGGAACGACATGAGGGTGAGTAAATAATGAATT